TTACACCATTATTGATATTATAATGTTTTTCTTCAAAATGTTGTTGTTAATACAATTCATTAATTTAGAATATTATTAACACTTGCAATTTTTTAATATATATGCTGAACATATGATTATTTGTTCACAATTATATTAATCAGTTATCATAGTCTTATTATTTTTAATATATATGCTGTACATTATTTGTTCACAATTGATCAATTATCATAGTCTTATTATTTTGAATCTTTACATTTTATTGACATAAATAATTATATTTTAATTTATGTTCAAATATGAATATATATGCTTATATAAATGTTCATATAATTATTTGTTATATGTTCATATTTGAAATGGTAATGGTTCATTTTTGAAATGATATGTAATATTGTTTGTACATAAAATTGATTAAAAAGAAATATCCAAATACAAACATATGTAAAATAATAACTAACAGTCTATATATGAAATATGTCTATATTGCTCATATAAATGAACATTCTTGCTTTTCTTGCTATTTAACTACTCTTTTTCCAACTTTCTTGCTTTTCTTCTGTTAATTCTAGACTCAGTGTTTTCTTCAAAAAGCATCAGTTCAGCTGTGTATTGCATCCTCAATTTCCTTATTTGGTTCAACTGTGAATGAGAATGAATTATAAGTTAAGAACAATTCTATGTTATATAAATGAACATTATATGTTACATAATTGAACATTTGATATACTTACGTTGTTTGCTTTCAGATCACAAATCCATTCTTCATAGGATCAGCAGTAAAAGTTTCCATATGCTTCATGATGTAGACTCCACAGTTTGTGTAGTCGGCATTGCTGCGCCATTTCATTTTTTTCCAATACAATTTGATAATCTTCAATGTAACTTGCATCTTCATACCCAATGTGTTTCATGTATGCAGCCAATCCTTTTAGCTGTTATGAACATTTATCAATCAATAAGTGAATATTTATTAATTAGAAAATGAACATTTAAATTATATATAATAAAAAATTAGTCAATTATCAAAATGATTGAATAATATTTTAACTTGCAATCATTTTTGGTTGGTCAAGATACTTTTGATATACTGATACATGTTATGGTAGCTTTCTACTGTCGATGATATGAATGGTATCCTTCATATAATTGATGCACAACACGAAAAAATGAATGGCAGTTGCTACTGGAAAAAATATCTGAACAAATAATAAATTGTTATTGAACATTTAATTTATTAGAATTGAACATATTATAATATATGTATTGATGTTACCTGTTTGTATCCAACAATGCTTTTGATTTTGTACATCTTCAATTCATTGTCTATTCTTTCTATGAATTCCTTAAATATTTTTTCCATTGTTGATCCTTCTCTGCAGACATTATTGGTGCACATAATTTGCTGCATTTTTAAACATGTAAACGTTAATTGATAAAACCTTTGTTGAGTAATAAATATCTAAAATAATTGAAATAAACTTACATGTGGCATTGTTGAGAAATATATGTTGTTTTTTGTGTTCTTATGATTTAGAATTGTTGCCCATGAATCTATGACACAATTCATAACTTGTACATCATCTCCAAGTGTTTTCATTTTTGCTCTATTTATGTTATTTAATCCATCATGATATAAAAGTGTACTGCAAATGAACATTAAGCAATGTGTAAATGAGTAATTTCCCAAGAAACTTATAAAAGTTAATGTATTATGAATAAGTTACCTTTCATCTTCTCCACTATAAGCAAAGTCACATACAAGTTGATTCATTTTTTGCTCATCTTTAAAAAGATCTTTGTATTTGACCATATATGGAGATCTAAATGCAAGAGGAAGAGTTTGGGATTGACGTTGTAGCCTCTTTGATGAACTGAACATATTATGAACCAAATATTATCATATATGTATATACAAATGAACATTTAAAATAATTAGAAAATTAAGGATTGTAATTTATACCTCTCATATATCTTCTTTTCTTGTTGTGTTTCATTTGACTTCTCGATGACTTTTTTTTATATTTTCTTCCCTGAACAAAAAGTAATTTATATATGAACATATTGGTTTCCACAAATGTTCATTTATTTGTTGAGGAAGATATGTAATATATTTACCTTTTGTCAGTATCTCAGGAAGATGTATCTTTCTTCTTTTTCTTCATTGTCAAAATTTTCTTATGTATCTCCATTGTTAGATTTTTCATTTGTTTTCTGAAAAATAAAGTGAAGTTAGTAACATAATGTTATGTTTATATTTTAACAACTAAATTATTAATAGAAATAGTTTAAACCACACAAAAACTAATTAATATTACAATAACATGTTGAAATTCATAAATTACATAACCCTTAATTGTTCTTGATTTAATAAAACATTCTTCAAAGTTACATAAACCTTAATTGTTTTTTTTATTCAACAAAATAAACTACATTATTACTAATAATACATAGGACATCACTAATTGCTAGGGGTTTTGTTTTTTACACATGTTCCTGTTCACTTTCCTTGTTCCTTATAACTTCACTAGCTGCTGGAGTTTTATTTTGTGAAATGTCTTCTCCAATTTTTTTTGTTTAACAGGCTCATTTTCAACTTGTACAAAACCAGAGGCTTGATTTTCAGTGCTCTTTGGATTTGCCAATTCTGCAATTTTTAAAATGAACATTAACAAATATAAACATGAACATTATCAAATATGAATATGAACATTATACATAATAATTATGAACCTTTTTTTTACATATAGGAGGAGATTTTCCAGTAGGATTTTCAACTTCTACAGAAGCAGAAACTTCAGCTGCAATAACACCCACTGTTGTAGATGTTGGATTTCTTGTATCTGATTTCATTTTTTACAAAAAAAAAAAAATTAGTTAAACATATCATTAAATATATTGAGTATCATATTTAAACATTTTTATTTTGTTCTTACCAATTTGTGGAGATAGAGGAGTAAGTCCCAAACTGAATGCTTTGTCGATGTTGAACTCCTCCTTTTTCTGTTTTCCTTTTTTGTTTTTATCCATATCAGCTGCTTTAAAAAATTCCCTTTCAGCTTCTGCAATTGCATTCAAGAAATCTTCCGAGCCATAGATTTCTTCATCTTGGCTTAATATTGATGGTTCTCTTGCCACTTTCCCCATAACCTCTACAACTTTCTTTACCAAGTCATTTTCAGGGAATATTTCCTTAGCTTTCAACAGTTTGCTTGATAGTTTTGACAAGGAACGATCAGTTTCAATCATCACATCAATGAAATCATTTATGAAAATCTATATTATAAATAAATTGTTAGATTTTAACCAATATATTTCATATTAAAGAAATGAACATTTATGTATTTCAAAGTGTTCATTTTACATACCTCAGGACTGATTTCAGCTTCTTCAACAATTCTAGGAAGTATCTTCCCTTTACCAAGTCCCAATTCCAATTCATTTTTTATTCTTTCAAGAACCATGTCCCGTTTCCAAACAGAAATAATTGGAATTGTTCTTGGTGGCTTTTTCCCCAATCTCTAGACTCTATCAAAATAGAACAGCTACAAAAGAAATAAAATGATTAATTATCAGATTATATATGATCAAGATTATATATGATCAATTATAAAACATATTTGATCAATTACCAAACAATAAATGAATATTTTATTTGATCAATTATCAACATATATTTGAACAATTATTATAACAAATTTGAACAATTATTTAAAAAATGAACATTATTATTCATACCATTAGAAATTGTAGGGGTCCTTTGTGGAATCCCTTGCTTAACTATTTTCTCCAATCAACATGGTTTTTCATCAGTGAATCAAACACATATTGACACCAATTCAAATTTTTAATATTTTCCTTGTGCATTGTTGAATAGAGAAACTTGTAATGGCATCGATTGTTTTGTATGCACTTTATCAATGCATTCACCGCCACCACCAAAAAGTTTGTAATAAAATCTTCATTGTCAGGTCTGTTTTTCTCAAACTTTTTGTCAATGTATTTTGCCACAATTTGGCTTACGGAAGGAATTTTTCCATTCCATTTTCCTCTCCACTTCTTCATAAAACCTTCAAACTCCTCACTTGCTTTTTTCTGATTTTTCTTCATCAATGGGTATTTCTCCCATTAGTAGACCATAAACTACTCTAACATCCTCTACTTCCACTTCAATCGAATGATTTTTTGGAAGTTCAAAAGTTTGATTGTTTTCTTCAAAACTATTCAAAATCCAATAACAGAAACTTCGATCTAATTGAGGTAACTGGATTTCAAGCAAGGCTCCGAATCCAATCTCCTGTATCTTTAATTTCTGTTCTGCACTCATTTTCTTTATCCATTGCATCAACTTCACATGGCCCCCTCTTGTTGATGCTTTCTCTTCTTGAAACTGTTCTTCATCAATTTCTTCAACTTCCTCTGCCTCAATTATTTCAGTTTTTGCTTTCCTTTTTTTCTTACCTTCACCTTCTGACTTATACACAACCAGCTCTTGCACATTCTTCTCAGCCTTTGGCTTCACTACGTTCTCCTCCTTCTTTGCTTTTTTATTCTTTGGCTTAATTTCAACCTCCTCCTCTTCCTCCTCCTCCAATTCATCATCTTCCTCACTAACAGGTTCTTGTTCAGCTTTATAGACAGATTCTTCACTGTCATCACCACTGTCAGAAGGATCTTTAGATGGTTCATCAGATGGCACTTCTTGAATTTTTTTTCTTTTTCCAACATTTTTCTTGGCAGCTGAAAATTGACATGAATATAAAAGTCAACATATATGATTATTCATGTATTTAAATGAATTTTAATCAAATGACAAAATGAACAAAATAGTTTTTATATATGATCATTCTATACATTGAAATTGAACTTTTATCACATATCATTGTATACCTGCTTTTCTTTTGCCAGCAACCTTAGAAGTTTTCTGCAATTGTCCTGCAGGTTTATTTTTTCCACCTATATAATTTTAAAGTTTTATATATTACATACAAATTTTAAATTAATTAAAACATAACAAACTTTTAATCAATTGAACATTTACCCTTTTTTCCTTGTTGTTCCACAACTTTCTCAGCAGGAGCACCAGCCATTTTTCTAATAGGTGCTTGAACATATTCAGCAGGGGCACCTGTCATTTGTTTTATTGGAGTAGGTGCTGCAGATTTCCTTGGAGAAATTCTTCTTTCCACACCTTTTTTTTTTGTGGATCCTTCAGCAGGATCAGTAGTTGCCTCCTTTTGACCTCCTTCAGCAGATTCATCTAACAAAACATCTATTGTGTTTTTAAACTTTTTGTTAGTAAAGATAAAAAATGTTCTATTTAACATTAAATACAAAAGTATTATGTTTACTTTGGCTTCTTGTAACTCTTGTATTTGGCACTATAGGGGTTTTATTTTTGTTTTTTCTTGCTACTGTTTTGTATCTTGGTTTCCTTTGGCTTGATTGTTCACTTTGATTTCCTTTGGCTTGATTGTTCACTCTTTTGAGATGATGGAACTGGATCATCATTTACACGTGCACTATCCAAATCCTCAGATATTAGATCAGTCTCATCCTCAATTTCATAATAATCACATGCCATTTCTGCTGCATAATAAATGATCAAAGGATAAATAGTAAATGATCATTTATGTAAAATAATGTAAAATGTTTATTATTTACAATATAAATGAACATTTTACCTTTAGTTTCTTTCTATGTTGCCTTTGGTATATTTTCCTTTTGCCCTGCTATGCATATTTTATCTTTGAAATAAATTAACTTTCTTGAACATTATATATTATGCAGATCCAAAATGAACTTTGTATGTAATAAATATGTACATTTTAAAATTTTACCTTTTAGCTCTGTTGTCTTTTGAGAGACATCTTCCACAGATTTCTCTATAGGGATTTTCTCATTTTCTGGCCCTTTATTCCCTTCTCCTAGTATAAGAATTATATTAGGGAAATTTGAAATTTATTAATCTTTTTGAACATTAAATATTATGTAGATTAAAAATGAACATTTTATCTAATAAATATGTACATTTTACATTTTTTACCTTTTTGCTCATCTGACTTTTGAAAAACATTTTCCACAGTATTCTTTTCAGTGTTTTTCTCTATTTCTTGCCTCTTTTCCTCTTGTCCTTCTAAGAGAATTAAATTAGTCAAAATTGAAATTGATTAATCTTATTGAACATTACAATAATTTATTATATATATAAAAAATGAACATTTTATGAAATAAATATGTACATTTTAACTTTTTACCTTTCAGCTTTTTCTTTTTAGGGCTTTTTTCTTTTTCAGGATTATTCTTCTTTACAAAATCTATTTTCTTCTATTTTTCTTCACCTGCAAAATTAATATGATTATTATAACTGATATATATATAAACATTAGACAAAATGTTCAATATATGTGAACATTTACCTTTGTTAAATTTCTTGTACAACTCTTCCCTTCTTTTGAGATTTTTCATGATTCTCGGTGTTGATTCATTGTACTTCCTGTAATTGTGAGATAGTGTTATGAAATTCTTTTATATAACATTATTTATTTTATTTTATTTAGTTATTCAAATTTGAACATACTTTGGGTTTTCTTCTATGTCTATATGTATTTGTTGCATCTTCTCCTTTAAAGTTGTTATTTTTGGCTTCTTCTGATCATCATTTTTGGTTTTTCTGATAATTCATTAAAAACATATATGAATATATAACTTTGACTAATTAATTATAAAATGAACATTTAGTCTATAAAAAATGAACATAAAGTCTATATAAAATGAAAATTTAATATTTCTTACTTTGGCCCAGTAGTTATCTTTTCTGTATTGTTTTTCCCCTCTGATTCAACTTCTTTTACCTTGCTGAAATCAATATTAGGTAATACTTTCAATAAAAAAAACCACATAAATGGTACACAAATGGACATTTATCTATAATAAAATGAACATTGTTTATTAATACCTTTGATCAACATTATCTTTGTCCTTTTCAGATGGAATTGTATCCTGTTTTTGCTCCACATTTTTGTCACTGAATAGTGAATATATTTATTAATTCTAATTTATTAAAAAAAATGAACAAGTATCATATGTAAAATGAATATTTTTGAATACAAAAGTTAGCATTAGCATACCATTGATCCCTACTCTCTTGTGCAGATTGATTTCCAATCTCATTTTGAGTAGCAGAGACATTCTCACTTTGTTCACTAAAAGAATTAGGATTATTTTATATAATATGACATTGAAGTATAAATAATTTATATGATGAAGTAGAGCGCTAGTTATTTTGGTATAAAGTTTTTATACCTCATTTGTTGATTTGTCTCTGGTGATCTTGATTTTGACATAATAAATTTCACTCGAACCTTTTTTTTTCACTAAAATTTTAAGAATTACCTAATAAGTTTGATATATATACACAATGTAGAATGATTGCATATAAAAACAACTATTTAATACATATAAACTTACTTGTTTAAAGTGTATCTTTGATAACTACTACCAAATTCATTTTGTTCAATAACTTTCTTTAGAGTTAATGGTTTAGATTTTCCATCTCTAAATTGAAGCAAGTGTATCACTCTATACGGTACATCACTACAATATAAATTAATTACATGGTATTAGTTTGAATGCATACAACTGAAATGATTATTATCATATTTCTATATGTACATGGAGTTTCAATTAAATGTGCATTTAAGCCTCAATGAATATTCAAAGAACAAATATAAATCATAACTATATCTATAAATGAATATTATGAGTATCAAATATGATCATATACGATTATATAATTAAGATCATGATAACATTATAAATAATCAAATCCTAATAACATATTAAACAATTATAAAACCATATGATCAGATACAAATAGCATATTAAAAATGAACATAATATATTCTGTAAATGATTATATACCTTGGAATTGGAGACATTTTTAGATATGTACCACTTGACTTTTCAATATCTTTTAAAAGTTCAGGATCTACAATTGGACTTTTTTCGCGGTTTTTTTTTCAATTTTTCTACTCTTGACTGAAGAGGTATTTCATCATCATCTCTGTTTTTTTTAATTAATTGTTAAAATCGCACTATAATTGCAAGGAATTTAACAAAAATAATTGTTCACACATAAAATCGCAAGAAATTGAACAAAATTAGGGTTCATACATTTCTTCAGTATTTTTCTCCGAATTACTCAGTTCTGAAGCGTTCTTCTACAAAATGTTCTTCTCTGAAATGTTCTTTTGCAAACTCACACTACAATCACAATAAATTGAACATAAATTAGGTTTCATACTTAAATCGCATTATAATCGCAAGAAAATGAACAAAATTAACAAAATAAATTACTCTTGTTCCGATTTTTTAGTTTCATCTTCAATGTTCTTCACTGGAGAGTTCTTTTCCGAAATTACTCTACAATCACAAAAAATTGAACCAAAAATTAGGTTTCATATCCAAAATCGTACTACAATTGCAAAAAATTGAACAAAACTAACAAAAAGAACTTACTCTTTTGGTATATCTTGTTCCGATTCTGCATGTTCACCTTGAATTTCAGACATTTGTACTAATTTTCGAGTAATTTTGAACAATTTTTTGCTGTAAATGCTTCGATTTTTTTAAATTTTATGAGAGAGAAAATGGAAGAATGTGGAGAGGAATATTTTAGAGAGAGAAAATGCTGGGTTTCTTTTTTTTTATTGTATATATAGGTGGGGTAGGGGCAGTTTTTAACTATGCAGTTATTTGTTTACTACGGTTAGTATGGGGTTAGTGGGTTAGTGGTAGCAGTTAGTGTGGGTTAGAGGTAAAACGCAGTGTTTAAGGGGGGGGGGGTGTAGGTAGTGGAAGCTACACTAGGGGGTAGGTGTTAAGAATTAATAATAAATTACACCCAAAGTAAAGTGGATTCTCTATTCTAATGACAGGTGTGGTCTAAGCCCATATTTAACGTGATGCTAATTACTTACATTGGTTACAATCTTGGACCAAATTCTATGTGAAAATAGATTATTTGCCTTGGAAAAAATCTTCATTCATATATTAAATTACTCCCAAAATTCTTGTAACTTTCTCCATGCCCGTATTTCTATGTGTTTTGCGTTCATACCTTCTTAAGTCTTCAATTGCGGAATGACATACTATTTCTTCACATGGAAGATCATCAAAAATACCCCGCCAACAATAGACAATTTTAAAAATTTGTCAAAATTAAGCCAACCTTTATCTTATTAGCTCAAAATAAATCAACATTATGATTAACTAAAAATAAGTCAACCTCTATAGATTATCTTCTCAAAATGAGTAATGACCTGTTGAATATTGGGGTAATTGGTTGATTTAATAATGTGAGCCACTTGTCATTATGTGGTTGGTCTTTTTTTCAAAAAAAAAAAAGTTAATTAAGAATTATTTTTTATTAATGATTTTAAAATACATAATTTTCCAATTAACAATTATATCAAATAAAAAAAAATCTAAGCCACTCCCTACCCACTGCCAGCCCCCTTCCCCACCAACTCCCCTTCCACAAGTGTGCCGGTCGGAGACCATCACCTCATCCCCTAGCGTCGAAGACTCTACCTTTCTCTTACCCACGACACCCCATTCCTCCTCTTTCCCCTATCAATTCTCACATCCCTACACCCCAACCCTACTCAACATCCACCTCATTCTCTCCTCTTTCACTCACTTATTTGTTGGGAACTCGCTGCACAAAATATGGTGATGAAGTCATTCTTTGGAGTCTCACCGGAATCCGACTTCCCTAACTAGAACCTTCCTTACGGGGTTAACTACTGGGTTAGTTTAAGAGTTTGGTTTTTGAGGGAGGAGGTGGTGTCGGGGTGGCCAGGTAGGGGATTGAAAGCGAGAAAGATTAAGGGAGGGTGATGGGTGATGGATGTTGGGGGGGATGGGTGCGAGGTTAGGTTGTCGGCGCTAGGGGAGTAAGATGGTCGCCGGCGGTGGTAGGGGGAGCTGGTTGGGAGAGGGGTGGTTGTAGACACCCATTTTTGTCTCCCTAAAACCAAACCCGGTGATGAGGACCTTTCACGTCGAATCATAATCGAATGAAGTGAAAGTGTGGAAAGTCTAGTGTTGCGGATAATTTTAATTTCTTTTCTTTTCACTCTGTTTTTGAAAATCTGTTTTAAGAAAAAATAAAGTCAATCCAGTTTTTTTGGTCCATGATATGGATCCAATATTAGTGTAGTTAGATAGGGGTTGAAAAGATCTTTCCAACGATATATTATAAGCCCAATTCCGATGAATATTGAGGAAGTTATGGCCAAATTACTAAACTCGACCCGGTTTGAGCCTTATATGCAGCCCAATGATCTAGTGGAGGGCCTAATATGGATTTATCATTCCTAATGCAATTAGGAATGGTTTTAGTCTTCTAGATTCTTCTAGAAGGTTCTTTTCATTCCTAATTCAATTAGCATTGATAAATTGACTTTTGTTGACTTTTTAGAGTTTTAATTAGAATAAAAGAGTGTTTTTGAGAAAAATACGATTTTATCCTCCTGTACAATTAATTTCTATCTAATTTTTAGAAAACGCGTCAAAAATTTAAATAACGCCAAACGCCAGCATTAGCGCCTGGCGCTAAGCTTGGCGCCTGGCGCTAGCATTAGTGTCTGGCGCTAATGTCAGCGTCTGGCGCTAACTCTGTTTTTTCACGTCAGAACTCTGGTTCGATTTTCTATCTTTTTGGCTAATATTCTCTATAAATAGCCTCCTAAATACTCCATTTTCATTCATCTACAATCATCAACTCTCTAGTTTTCTAATTCTTTTCTCTCTTAAAAGCTAAAGCTTCTATCTCTCTCTTTTCTAAACCTACCCTCTTTTTAAAAAATTCCGCATTCATAAGACCTAGACACACCTAGCATTATTCGAAGTTGCCTTCACCCTAGACGTGAAAGAAAGAGGTATGAGGCATCCAAGTGAGTGCTTTAATGGTTTTTATTGATATTATGATGTAGAAATCATGCGTAGATTGTTATTATAATTCCTAGTATATGTTAGGATGTTTTCCTTAATTTGATGTTTAGGGTGACCACAATAAGTTCCTAGTATCATGTCTAGGGTAACTTTAATATCAAGTATGATTAAAAGTATGATGGCTTTTATGTTCTTTCTAATATTTATGATTGTTAGTATCATGTTAAGGTTTAATATTTGATTTTCAACGTTTAGTGACATGCTAGGGTTTGTTATTAATCTTATTAGTATCATGCCTAGGATCTTGCTATTAATATTATGCTTTAACATGATTGTTTTTATGATTATAATTTTTATAATTATTATTGATTATTATTATGTTGCTTGATATTTGTTGTTATTTCTCTATCACGCCTTTTATGCATGTTTAAAGGGAATTGGTACTTGTAATCACGCTTAATAAGATAATTAATAATCTTGTTTAAGGTTAATTTGATTATAATTCAAGTGATCGTCAATAATAGTTTATTTGTGCATTAATATTCAACCAACATAGATTAAACAGGTTTAGGGTTAAACCTATTGATTGCATGTTAGTCAGAAAGCGCACATGAATACGATTAGAATAAAGTAGAGGCCTATTATTAGGGCAGGTTCAATCTTTTTTAGGTTGGATTTGTATCTTCATTCCCGAACTACCAGTCATGGTTCCAGACCTATTGGAGTTGACGATCTCTTGGATCGTTAAGGGGTGTAACCTTCACCTCGTGAACGGTTTACAAGTTCCTAAAACTTGTTGGCGACTCTTTTGCTCTATCTTCTTTCCCTTTGGACGCCACCATGCTTAAGTGTATGATCACAGTGGGGTTCAAGTTTAGGGTGATGCTTGAAATATTCCCTACAGTTTTTTGGCGACTCCGCTGGGGAGGATTACTATTTTAATTCCTGAAATTTATTTTGGCAATGATTTAGAATGAGTGGATGAGACTCGAAAAGTTCTAAGCTAAGTATTTCATGTGCGTAATTTTGATTAACATTATTGTCATATGCATAAAAAAGATCTCATTGGAAAGACCATCCATAATGAGTTAAAACATAGGATTTTTACACGTAGGAAATTTGAGGAATATCTTTCACAACTAGGATCGAAATAATGCTGTGCGAAACTGGAAAATTTTATCGAGCACAGAAAGCTGCTGAGGCATGTATGAACTAGCGTCAGCGAATAAAGTTTAGCGCCAACAATTTGACGTTAGCGCCAGGCGACAACTTCTGTCGCCAGGCGCTAAAGCCAAATTGTGGCGTTGGCCTCTTTTTGCTGGCGCCAAGTTCTTCCAATACCGAGCCAGAAATATGCGTTCTAATTTCGACCAGTTTTTTAGCACTGTTTGCTCGATCCTACTTCCTGATTGAGTTTTTCTCATTTTTCTGAAACCCATATGTGTTCTACATATGGACATAACCTTCTGGGAATTCATGCTCCATCTACCTGATTGAACGCTCTGAGCAACAAAGGGTACATCCGAGAATGTTGAATTCACCAAACCATGGAAGCGAGTTTTTAACTCGCGGTGTCCCATTAACTCGCGTCAACCCTTCACGATTAGGCTTCCGCGCGGTGCATCCAGACAATTAACCATGGACCCTATTTGACTAACCCATATCCCGAACTTTAGAGAACTAGAGCCATGGTTAGGTTGCAAACTCATTGCATCATATCATGCCTACTTAACTAATTGTGCATTATTAGTTGTGCATACTCTATGTGTTTTTCCTAACCGTTCATTTGACTTGTGTTAAAACTAAATAAACTGATGAATGACTAAAGGACTGTTTAATTAATTAATTAATTGATTTGAGCTAATAAATATGTTTAAAATCGAGTCATAGTCCCTTTAAGTCAACCCGCATTTTTTATTCCCGTGTACTGCACAAACGTCAATTTGTTTTGGTCATAGCCGGAGTTATAGGAAGAAATACGAGTCATAAAACCTATGAATCTGTAGCCCCAAGTTTTATCTTTAATGTGGCGTTGGTTTCATCCCAATCAGAGTCACAGATCAAAAGTTATGACTAAAATACCACAGTCTGTCCAGTTTAATGCATATACGTGAAGTCTTAACTTAGTCTTTGCTTGAGTCTAGTCACATAGTCTAGCCACATAGTCATGACACGAGTCTTAACATGTCACCTACACTCACTAGTCTTAGCACACACTTTGTACATACTCTTTTCACACCATAACTATGTCTTAGGTTCATACATGAGTCGGTTTTTTCCGTCATTTGAGTTGGGGTACATTCTATTCCTAATTTTTTCATATCTCTTCATCTACATCATCTTTCCATTTTCTACATGCTTTCTCCATATCACAACCTTCATTCTTCCTACCTTCTTCCATCCATGCATGTTGAATCGAGTTTGAGTCATGTGATTGACAAACAAAAAAATGAGGGTAATGATGAAACAAATGCACAAGGCAAGCTTCTCACCAAGATTTCATGCTTTCTTCTTCTTTTTTTCAAACCCTTTCCCCAATAAGTCTAGCATAGACATCCTTCATCCTCCTTGAATTTATTTCTTAGAGTTGGATTTTTACCCTTCACTTTTTAAT